TATTTTAGATTAACTTCCCATTTTTTTTTTTTTTTCTTTAAAAATTTTAAAACTTTTTTTTTTTTTTTTTTTTTGGTAATAAAAGAGTTTATGCATTGCTGTTTCAGCAAACGACTGGCATCAGTAGAGTGTGATAGAACTCACTTCAGTAATGAGCTAAAAAAAAAAGAAGCAGAGTTGTCCCTTCAAGAGGCAAAGATTCTTGATGTTTGTGGAAGCCAAGATTTTGACAGTGATCTGAACAAACTGCAAGATGAAATTGAAAAAAGTTCAAAACAGCGAGGTAAGTTCATTTATAACTACATTTTGTTCCCTAAAGCTTGTAAGTCTCTGACATGGAGACAGTCTGTTGCTTGTGCAGGAGAAACAATCAGTAATATTCAGTAATTTCAACAGTTTCTGCGCTGGTTTTGAACAAGTTTTCCTTATACTTAAGCAAGATCAGTTGTTTTGATTCTTTCAGTTACTTCATTTACTCATAATAAGAGGGATATCTGCTCTGGCTCGCTGTGTGGTTTAAATGTAAGCCTCTGACATGGAGACAGTCTGTTGCTTGTGCAGGAGAAACAATCAGTAATATTCAGTAATTTCAACAGTTTCTGCGCTGGTTTTGAACAAGTTTTCCTTATACTTAAGCAAGATCAGTTGTTTTGATTCTTTCAGTTACTTCATTTACTCATAATAAGAGGGATATCTGCTCTGGCTCGCTGTGTGTGTGGAACGTGAAGGAAATGTTTGAGTCCCGTGTCTGCCAGGTGTGAAGACACGTGCAGAGCCAGCTGTTTGGTGTGGGTTTGGCTCACAGGGCCTGGCACTATCTGAAAAAAATAATTTCTGAAAGAAGGGCTTGCTTCCACTGTTAATTACAGAGAGATGAGCTTGGCTTAATAAAAGAGACTTCAGGTTGAAGAGGTCTTCGGGAGGTGCCATAGGGCAACCTGGTCGCTTAGGGCCATTTTGTTTTCCAACTTTTATGATTTTGCGGGTTATAATTTTGTCTCATTTATGGTAAATATGTATCTAGTTCATATCTGATTTTTATGCACTGTTTATTTTTTTACATAAAGTCTTTTCATTCAGAAATATTTCGCTACCTTTTCTGCTCATTTGGACTTTAGTGTTAAACTATCATATTTTGGTGCTCTGAGGCTTCTCATGAGAGCGAGGCAGAAAAGGTGGTTATATGCTTAGTTTTCTACTGAGTATTTACACTATACAGGCACGGTTCCCTTCCTTGTTTTTTGTCATTATAATTTAAAATAGGCTGGGTTTGTTGTTACTGAAATGTTTTCATACAATGTCACCTTAAATATGCTTCTTAAAAATGCTGGGTGCTCTGAGGCTTCTCATGAGAGCGAGGCAGAAAAGGTGGTTATATGCTTAGTTTTCTACTGAGTATTTACACTATACAGGCACGGTTCCCTTCCTTGTTTTTTGTCATTATAATTTAAAATAGGCTGGGTTTGTTGTTACTGAAATGTTTTCATACAATGTCACCTTAAATATGCTTCTTAAAAATGCTGAAATGGAAGTTGTGTAGACAGAATGGGAACTGAATCTGTATTAAACACCCTTTAGTAATATCTTGATTTGCATCTCCTTTAACAGCAGTTCTTGTTGCTGGCAGTTTTGTATGAATTATGATGTTCTAAAAAGGCGTCTCTGGGTTTTATAGTGGATTCCCAATGCCATTTATCTTTCCTTAATGTTCAGTTGTGTGCAATTCCATCATCTGGGAATGCATCTCTGTCTCTGATACTGATAAACTGTATTAGATTGGACTGAATTTATTCCTTTATTTATTTAAAAAGCCTTTTTAAGGTTTGTTTGGGTTTTTTTTTGACTTAAAAGGTAATGCAAAGTGTAAGTAATCTTAAATTCAGAAAGGGTGCCTGCGGTGTATTTTCAGATTTCCAGGCTGAATTTGTATTTTTTAAAGCTATGAAAACACTGGACAGTCTGGGTTTTTGCCTCCCTTTTCTCTTCCCCTTGTCTCCTTTCAAAACATAAACAAATAACACTGGCCCTAAAGAGATTTTCTGGGAGTTCTGTTTTATTTTTCTTAGGGTGTGAACAGCATTTAAAGTAAGAGTGTGCAGGTTTCCTGCCAGTAGGTGAAGAAACTGTCTCAAGAAATTTGCACACCGTTGTTCTGAGAATTTGGGAAGAAACTCTGTCTCAGGAAATTTGCACACCGTTGTTCTGAGAATTTGGAGAGTACATGGTAGTGGGAAGACCTTTCCTTCACAAGAGGGCACTCTTGTACAGTGGATTTAGACCATCTCATCAGTACTTACTGTAATTAAGTTAAAAAACAAAAAAGATTTTGTGTGTTTGTTCATTTTATCTCACCTGTCTAAAATAAGGGATGTATTACCTTAGCTGGGTAGATAACATAAACTTAATTAAATGTGGCCAAGCTGAAGGGGATACTATTTTGCCTAAATTTAGTCTTACTAGATCATACCACAGATTTTGCCTTCTTGAATGCCTTGGATTCACGCTGCTGGTTTTGACAAAGGAAATTTTACGGATTTATGTTTTATTTCAGGCGAACTGTAGTTGATCTCCAAGAAAAAGACATCCCAGACTTGAGAAACAGGATACAGAACGCGAACAGGGATTTAACAAGCCTGAAGGCTGAGATAGAGGAACAGGAGTCGCTCTTGCAGACAGCTCTGTCTGAGGAGGACGGTGCCAAGGCGTGTTTACAGGATGTAACGCTGATGGAAAGGCACCAGGTATGCTCTGGGAATTTCTTTTAATATGTAAAATGATGCTTGCTGGCATTTAAATATGTAGTTATTCAATAACGTGATCAAATGTTGAGGTTTTAAGACTTTTCAAGTGAAAACTGATTTCCTCTCACAATTGGGAAATCCAGTTTCCAGCAGCAGTCCATGGGCTGACCTAACCTTGCTGCTAACGATCTGACATTGCTCCAGCAGAGGAGGTGAATTTGAAGGTCTTGAATCATGTGTGTGTCAAGCTCCAGGCTTCTTTTTGCGTGCCAAAGATAAAACATATGTTGTTAAACCCTAATACAATAATAAAAGTACTTTTCCTCATACTTTCAGACTGACATTAGGGATGTTGAACGAAAAATTGCTCAGCAGGAGGCTAAGCTGCTAGGGGTGGATTTAAGTAGAACTGTTCTACAAGTAAGCCATGAAAAACAAGAGAAGAAACACTTGTGGGATACAGGTAGGTCATGCAAAACTGGTATTTCATTTTTGTATTGAAAATAATGTTCTAAACTTGCTGCCATTAAAGTATAAACTCTCCTTATTTTACATTCTGAAGTAACTAATAAACTAATAGTTTATTGTTTTGTTTTGGGCTCATTTAGCTTGATTTAGAGTTACATTTTCATAAGGAAGACAATGCATGTTTTTAGTAACGGGTTGACTCTTTTACCCTGTGTCTGTTTTCATCCGCAGTTACTGGTAAAATTGAGTTAAATCAAAAACTCAAGCAAGACCAGCAAAATCAGATTCAGCAGCTGAAGAGTACCATGAATGAGCTTAAAGGGGAGAAACTCCAGCTGGCCAGCGGCATGCAGCGTCGGCGCCAGCTGGAGGAACAGACAGTGGAATTAACCACCGAGGTTCAGTCCTTGTGCAGGGAGATCAAGGTAGGAAATACTGTTAATTGTTAGCCCTTAGCTTTGTTCTGGAAAGACCCTGATCTTTTTGTATTTCCCATTGTCTGTAATCCTGGCAAGTAAGATGTATTTTTAAATGTTTGTTCTGCTATTGCATATTTTTGGGAATTTCCAGAACTTTATTAATACATGTTTTCACATTATTATTTTTTTTAACACACCCCCCCAAAAAAAGAAGTAAACACATGACTTTTCTTACCACTTGCAAAATTGTTGATCTTTAATGGAGTGAGAGAATAAAAAGGACTTTCTCCAACTTCTTTTCAGGAAGCAAAAGAACAAGTGTTTCCTTTGGATACAACTTTAGACAAACTGCAGCAGGAGAAGGAGGATCTAGTCAATAAAAGGACTGCAAGTAATAAAGAAATGCAAGAGAAGGTCTGTTTGCTTTTGGTGTAGCTGGGGGATAGGATTATATACTGGTTTTTGGGCATGGATGGAAGCCACAGTGATGAGTTTGCCTTGAGGAAACAGCAGTGACTTTAGCAAATGCTCAAAATTGATGTAACTTTTAGGGAAGAAAAGGAGCATGACCAAGTCAAGAGATTAACTCAATTGTAATTAACATTTGACAGCCTTTTCAGAAGGCTTCTAGGGACATTTGGCAATATTTAGTGACCAATGGTACTAAGAGTGGCTCCCAAGAGGTCTAGGAGGAATGACTGTAACCCATCCTTGCCAAGAGACAAACCTGGTTTTCTCAGGTGAAGGGGCCCTTTGTGTAAGCAGAAATGAGTCATTTCCCACTTGTTTTGGGAAACATTTTCATGGCAATAAGGAGTGTCTGGATTTCAAAAGCTCAAGGCTCTAAGATAAGTAATTGTACTTTGACAATAGTGTTATCCAGCATCTCATCTTCCATACAGAGCGTATCGGTTCTTGGACATAATACTGCATTTCATTTGAAATATTTTCCCTGCAGATAAATAGCATAGAAGAGAAAGTTAAGGATATAAACAAGTACATGAAAGAAATCGAAAACTATATTCAGCAAGGAAAAGCCGAGTATAAAAAGGTAACCTAAAAACCAGTCAAGAAAAGGTTGACGTTGAAGGCGCTCTTGTATTTAAATCATACACCATTTTATTTCTTTAGCAAAAGGAGGCTGAACTTGATGAAGTAAATTGTCAGCTAGCTGCCTGTGAGAAACAGAAGGACAAGATAAGTAAAGAGATGGAAGTGATTCGACAAGATATTGACACTCAAAAGGTAGATGTATTGTTTTACAGTAAAGTATATTTTGCACAGTTGAAATAATTTCCGGTTTTGGTTCTGCGTGGGTCTGTAGTGGTGCAAAGTTTGTCTCCTGATTTACTTAATCAGCTGTTAGTCAGAATAGCTGCTGTACATGTATTAGGCTGAAAAAACTCTCATATTTGCAAAAGTAGATGCATTTTAAAAAACTTTATCTTTTTGTGGTATTTCCAAGAAGGTTAAGTCTGTTGGGATGTAGCCAGTATCAAAAGTTGCAGATTTCTGCAACTGGTTGCAGGTGCAGGTACCCAAAGTTGCTAGTTACTCTAGATCTTGTCCTGTACTTAAAATTCTTCTGTATATATTTCAAATACTGTTCACATTCTTTGAAGGAAAGATGTCTTTACCTGTTCTACCCCCTCCACTTACTGTCTAACTTACAGAACTGAGATGAGGGACTTGGCTAAATCTCATCCTAAATTCTTTGCCCAGTTTGAAACGTTGATTAATATTTGCACAGGATCACTCTTGTGTTTGCCTGGGACAATAAATACTGTGAGTATTATTTCAGATTGAAGTATGGAATAATACTGCTGATTTCCACTATACCCTATTTCTAGCACAAGTTAAGTTCTCATTTATTTCCGTTGTTAATTATTTTATGCTTGCAGCATGTTTTACAGTTATGCAGCACTCATGTTTTAATTGAGAATCAATATACTGAAATAATAATATAATGATAACCATAATGGCAACCTGGTCTAGTTGGGGGTGTCCCTGCTGACTGCGAGGAGGTCGGACTAGGTGACCTTTGGAGGTTCCTTCCGGCCTGGACAATGCTATGATTCTATGATAATAAATACAGCATAATAAACATAATAATATAATAATAATTATAGCATAATAAACATAATAATATAATAATAATAATAAACTGTAATCACTTGTTTTCTGTGACAATAGGTACAGGAGAGGTGGTTAGAGGATAATCTTACTTTGAGGCGACGGAATGAAGACCTAAAAGAAGTTGAAGACAATATAAAAAGACTTTTGAAGGAGATGGGAGAAATGAAAGTCCCGCAGTTGAAAACGTAAGTGTCTTCAAACAGAATGGTGTGTTTTGGGCAAGAATTCACTGAATGCCTGAATGTAATATTGAGTGTGTTTCCTGGCCCACCTTTCTCCCTGTTCAGGTAGAACTTTTCTCCTTCAAACTCGGGTTTGTAACAGCAATGACTCAGTGAAATGATAGAGTGCTTCCAGCTAGAAATACATATCCAAAACACAGCAGCTACTGGGAAGAAATTTATCTCCATCCCAGCTGAAACCAGGACATGGACACGTGCATATACCTGTTCCAATCTCATCCATGTTTTAAATGACTTCCACAGTTAAATCCACATTTAAAAAATAATTCGTGTCTCTGGATAAGAATATTTAGTTTTCATCTTCAGTCTGCTCACTCAGCAGCAAATTTTGTATTTATTTCAGTAGTCTAATTGCTTAGATAATAACCACTTTTGGAAAGGGATTAGTCCTATGCTGTTCTTATGTGTGAATCGTTTAGCTTTCTAGAGGTTACCCAATTAATTCTTCTTATTTTGCTCAGTATCCTAATTTAATTTCACCTATGAAATTAATTGTTTTATATATTTCTACCTATAGCACTTTGGCAGTCAAACTTGATAACTTGCCCCTCCCACTCAGGATAGTGATTTGAATATGTTCTTAACAAACTTAAAAATATTTTTATTTCAGTGTCCTAGTTTCAGTGACATTAGTACGATAATTTTAAGTGTTACAGGCTTTATAGATGCAATATAATGAGCTACTGTCTAGCATAGACTCAGATTGGAACCCTGATTAAAAAATTGTGAAACACTTAATACAAAAGACTTGTCTATCAATTACGGTTTCAGTGAGCAGAAACATTTGGAGGAGAAAATAGAATCCCTGAAAAGAAACCATCATGTGGCACTTGGCCGACAGCGTGGGTTTGAGGAAGAGATTGTTCGCTTTAAAAAGGAACTTCGAGAGCCACAGTTCAAAGATGCGGAGGAAAAATACAGGGAGATGATGATTATCATGAGGACAACAGAGCTGGCAAACAAAGATCTGGATCTTTATTACAAGGCTCTTGATAAGTAAGTATTGTCGTATGAGGGTGATTCTTAAGGTTTTTAGGCTTTATTACTATTGATAACCTTGATGCCAAAGCAGCTTTCAACTTCAGACTTCCGAGGGTAACATAGAAATAGTAAATTGGTATAATTCTTTGAGAGATGTAATTATTTGTCCTTATAAAATGAGGCATTTAAATGTTAAGATAACGTAATAAGGTACACCTTTTAAAATAAATAAATGAAAACATGCCACAAACTGCACAGAATTGGTAGGATGTAGGAAATTCGTAAGTTAATGTATGTAGTGTGCATACAGTAAATGCATTGATGGTAATAACTGGAGTTTAATATAGTCTTAGATAAGTGATCTTTATAATTTTATTCCCAATTCTCTGTAGGACCCTTTTTGAGTTACTGTTGTATACGTTAGGACTCCTATTTGCAATGCAACAATTCCAGTTGAGAGCTAACAATGAGTGAACCCAACACACCACAAACCTCTGCCTTCTGTGATGAATTTTTTGGTGGGAAATGATCTTTTGCTGTGTTGCCTGTGGTGGTTAGAGAATGTCCAGACAACAAACACATTCAGCTTCGTTTTTCAGGTGAAAACAAGTGGAAGAGCCAGTAGAGCCACAGGCTGTTCCTCTGAACCTAGTGCTCTTTTTTTTCCATTTGAAGGCATTTTTAGGAAGCTTTTATAAGCGTGTCTTCCAAAGTTGCTGATGATTTTTCCTTTTTTCATGTATGTCTGTGCTGGTTAGAGAATGTCCAGACAACAAACACATTCAGCTTCGTTTTTCAGGTGAAAACAAGTGGAAGAGCCAGTAGAGCCACAGGCTGTTCCTCTGAACCTAGTGCTCTTTTTTTTCCATTTGAAGGCATTTTTAGGAAGCTTTTATAAGCGTGTCTTCCAAAGTTGCTGATGATTTTTCCTTTTTTCATGTAATTTTGAGTGGGTTTTTTGGTTGAGTTTAAATCCTTCATTATTAACCCAGATCTCTCTTGCATAGTCTCTCAGACTGCTTTCGTTTCTATAGCAGTATGTTTTAGCATCTTCTGGTCATACTTTAACATGCCAGGTAGATTTCTTGTTCTCCATGATCATCTTCTCAGGTAAACAGTTGTGTTTTCACTAAAGAATATTAAACTATAGAGGTGTTTTTTCCCCTTTTCCAGCGTGGGTGGGTTTGTGCTTAGAGAAGGCAAGATCAAAAGAAGCGTGTCTTGCACTTGATGGAAAGTGTAGTAAACTTTGTGATGGTTTCTGCTTCCTCTGGAAGCTTGTATTCTAGTCTTGGACTGACTGGCCCAAAATAGCATCTCAAAATTTGTAAACAAATACAAAATAAAACATATGGCTCCCTAAAAACCCCTGTATGTTCAATTATAGTGATGGAGTTGCACTGGGCTATTGCAACTTGATGGACAATGGGGAGGGATCTTGGAGTCAGTGGATGTGTTTCAGGAAATACAAAACTGGTGCTTGGTGACGGAAAGATAAATTGAATATTAGGAATAAAACAGAGAAAGAAAGAGATTCTGGCAACTGCATGAATTCCCCATACACCCATGTCTGGAATATAGCATGGAATTTTGGTCTCCTGCATTAAAAAGGGTCTAGGTAGTACTGGGAAAAGGAGCACAGGAGAGCAGAAACGTCGTTGAAGGTACAGCATAATGGTGGAGAAACTAAATAGATGAGAATTTTCTAAGTTGAGAAGACAGGTTTGAATAGTTATTAAACACACGGGTCTAGAAGAACTGTGTTTTAAGCAGTTTTAATGATAAAATAAATACGTTTCATATTAGAATGTCAAGTAATCTAAAATTTACTTTGTGAAGATTTAAATTGTTCAGAGCATGTACATTCTTCCTTTTCAGCTTAAATGGAAATGCACTCCAAGAATTTCCCTTTTAGAATTCAGTATCTTGTTGTATGGTATCAAATCATCTATTGTTTCTATTTAAGGCAAAACAGGAAACCTGTCTTGTCATTTCAAGAAAAATAGATAAGCATCACTTATTGGTAATCATCCGAAAAATCAGTGAGACGAAATGTTAATGGCCAAAGATTGAAAACTATCTGTAGCTGGGAAAACCAACATTCTGCACTATCAGTTGATCTTCATTGACTTGAATATTCAGAAGTTGATGATAAATATTGATGAGGAATGCATTCTTGGGTTTAATTAAGTAAATAGTTGAATGCACTTTCTTCAGAGTTAACAATCCCTATTAGAGTTGATACTTCAGTCTTCCCCAGAACTGGTGGAAATAATTCCTGTAAGGGAGGAGGTAGGAAAAACATATGTAAAAGTCCATTACAGAAGTATATTTTATTTCCACCATGCTTTTTGAAAGAAGACATTGGCATAAATTGAGCAAGCATTTTTTTTTTTCATTACAGAGCAGTTTTTCTTTAAAAAGCCATGTTAGAAATGTAGCATCCTGTCCCTTCTTGAGTGCTTTCACAAGGAATCATGTATTATTGACCTAAAGTCATGTTGATATATTAACCAGGGAAGCTAAATTGAAAACTATTAATGACATCTTATGCTACTTTTGCTGCTGAAGAGAAAGGTAGCTTCAGTCATAACGTCTGTCTGGGCAATTATATTCTTGATACAGAATTCTCTGCTCTGAGGAAACTTCACAGACTCTCCTTTCCTACTGAAACCTGATTATTTGCATGGCTGGGGGACTGTGCCCATAACACTGCTCTTGTTTTGGAAGACTTAACATCAGATTCATCTTCTTGGTGTCAGTCTGAAAATACAGCTCCTGCAGAAATTATAGAGCTCTTAAAAAGTCAGGTCAACTTGTTCTCTGAGTGACTGACTGCAAAGCTTTTTGTCTTCATTCCTCTCCTACCTCTTGTCTGAGCTGTTTGTGAGAGTAGAATTATTTACTCAATAGAGCGTGGTTAGTCTTTAGATATTTCTGCATTCAAAAAGAACTGGTATTTATTATGTTTTTAGTAAAAGTATTTAGAGAATGGAAAGGGAGCTGCTGCCTGCCTTAAAGTTCCTGTAGTCCATAGCAGTCCGTGGTTGTGTCTATAACAATTTACATTTTGTTGTTGTTCTTCTTTAGAGCAATAATGACGTTTCATAGCATGAAGATGGAAGAAATCAACAAAATAATTCGTGACCTTTGGCGAAGTACCTACAGGGGACAAGGTATGTATTTTATTTTTTTTATTTTTGCCCACGCCTATTCATTTGACACTGAGCACAGCACACTGAAAAGTGTTTGTTCAAATCACTGAAAATCCAGGATCTGAAAATAGTTGGTTCCAATCTAAAGGCTACGTCTGTCGGTCACCACTGTAATCTCCCTTTTATTAGAGATTATGTAGTTAGTTATAGGATAAATACAAGTAGTTTTTCCCTTTTTGATGTTTTTCCAAAGTTAAGGTTTCCTTGAGACAAAGGAACTGCATGAGTTCATTCCTTCAATTTTGAAAAGCTAATTTCAAAGATGTATCTATTAGTGGGAGTTCTGAATCGAATTTTTGTGGTTACTGCAGATTATACCTCTCAGCTCTGTTTAATCCTATCATACTTTTCAATATTTTGGTACTGTAAAAACTGTCTCCTTTGCCTTTTCAGATATTGAATATATAGAAATTCGTTCTGATGCAGATGAGAATGTCTCAGCCTCTGATAAAAGAAGAAGTTACAATTACAGAGTGGTGATGATAAAGGGAGATACGGCACTGGATATGCGAGGGAGGTGTAGTGCTGGGCAAAAGGTAATAGCATTTTATTGTTAATATGCAGTAAAGAGGATTCTGAAAACTGACTCAGGTGAATACAAGAGAGTAGTAACATGTTCTGAAGAACAGGTGACTCCGACTCTAGTTTAGAATTCTTTCCTTTGCTGTATCTGGATTTTGCTGACAGCATGCATGAACATGCCAAAATCCATTGGTTCAGCTGGGGACTGGTCTGAGTCCCTGCAGCAAGGAAGGGTTCATCTTCCTTCTCTCCTCAAGTTCCAATCCTCCCAGTCTCCTGCTGGTTACCACTAAGGTTCCCATAGCTTTAGGTCTATTGACTTGCTCCCATGTTTTCTCTTCTTGAGGGCCAGCCCTTGGTTGTCTTTTCACAACCTCTAAGCATTTTGTCCTGTGTCAGGATGAGCTCTGCAGTCCAGCCTCTCAGATGTCTCGGTACGTGAATGAGACACACTGGCCAAATGGGCTGATGCCCCACTGGCCTTGGTGGTACCAGTGATCAGTGCTTCATCACAGCTTCTCTCACATGTTGTTGTTTCCTCCTGTCTGTTACGTTATGACAGAGCATCTAAAATATTCCTCAGAAAGAGAAAAGAACCAGTTGTCTTCATCTGCCTCCAAAATCACCATCTGTACTGGTTTTTTTTTTTATTTATTTTTTTTTTTTAAAGAGCTGAGGTGTGGAAAAACCCTTTAATACTTGTAGCCATTTGACACTTGGCGTGTTGGTTGTGCAGGTTGGGCAACCAAAGCTACCTGCAGTGTTACAGCAGGAAGCTCTGCCTCTTCCTTAGATGAATCATTTCCACCAGAAGAAGCGATCTTCCTAAATGCAGAAAGGGACCAAAATACAGCCAGGGCTGCTCTTACTTCTTCCCTGCTGGAACACTTTCTGCCTATCCTTTGTGCCTGCTGTGCTGTAAATGGAAGACCTGGAGAGCTCTCCCCGATATTTAAATTGCATTTAAGGCTCTCTGCAAGGCACCAGTGGCAGCCTGGCTGGAGGACACTGTGGTTGCAAGAGGGAGACACGTTCACCTGCCTCTTCTGCAGTGGGAGCTGGAGCTTTCTGGGTTCCTTTCCTCTGCAGTAGCTGAAAGGGTTTTGATGGCAACAGGTTTAGATCTCTGATGTTGAGGAAGAGTTGCCTTTATCTGAAGTAACAAACTGCCTATTTTCTTACCCCCCAGAGTAGCAATTCCCACTGTGGTCCTTACTCCAGCAGTTGCATTGCCAGCCAGGCCTTTTCAGTGACCAGATGGTACAGAGTTGTAGAAAATGAAATCAAGGAATGGAACAAAATGAGACACAACATTTTGAAGTGCCTATAGCAATGGAATTATGAAAGGCTATTTCATGAGAAGATGAATATTGTGTTGTTGCTTGAGTATAAAAAATGCTGTCAAATTAATTCCCACCTGAGTGTAGAAGTGTACTGGGTTCTGAAAATTCCATCCTGATTTGGGGGGAAATCCAAATCTTCTTATAAAACAGCAGCACAGGCAAAAAATGTCTCCTCTCCTAAAGCAGTGTAGGGTGTTACGTTGGAGTCCTATGTAAATGAGAGTGAAACTGGTTCACAGTTTCTTAGCCTATATTCTGAGAATTCTTTGATCGTGAGCTGTGATGCCAGCAGTTGTGATAATTGGAAAATATTTTTGGCAGCAGTTTCCATCGAGTGTTCTGTAATTTTCACTGGTTCAGGAGGTCTAATAATATTAGGTGTGTTAACACAAAACTAACATGTGAGGTGGTACATTGTTCTGGCTTCAGTTTTAGTAAGTAGTCGGGAGTTCAGTAACCCAAACTTGGCGATAGGCGTGATTTCCACCGATTTTACCTCAGATCAAAATCCTCACTTCTGGTATCTCCTGTATTTTGAGTATTTGACTTCTCTGATATTTTTCCAACGGTACTTTTGTAGAATGAATCTTTCAGTTCAAACTTGAAGATATAATGTAGTTTTTCAGTAACTAATGATTGTCATTTTGTGAACTGTCAGCACATTACTATGTAAACTTTAGTCATGGTTTGTAATGGCATTAAAACAGCACGTTACATGGAGTTCCTCTACAAACGCTTTGAAAAGTGAGATTTTGGTGGTGTTTTGTTTTCTTTTTCCATAGGTGCTTGCTTCTCTCATTATTCGTCTTGCTCTGGCAGAAACGTTCTGTCTCAACTGTGGCATATTGGCGCTGGATGAGCCCACAACCAACCTTGATCGAGAAAACATAGAGTCTCTTGCACATGCCCTGGTGGAGTAAGTGATTCTCTTCTTCTCAAGCTTAAAGATGGATATTTTCCAAACACTAATAGTAATCGGCAGAAATGAATTATATTTTAAGCTGGCGTTTCTTTGTCAGCATCTGTGAATATACATACAAAGCAGGAGCTTTAGATTCCCTGTCCTTTGTCTGGAGGAGGAAAAATACTTCCTAAAAAATAATTTGGGATTTTTTTTCTGTGGGTACAAAGGGTTGCTAATCAGCATTAGATTGCTTGACGGTTCATGTCATTCATTACCAATAGTTAAATATTTTTGCACTATGTGTTTATAAGTTCTCTAAAACTAGAATGGGATTTAGATAAACTTACACTAAATTATATCTCTTTGTAGGATTATAAAGAGCCGCTCACAACAGCGTAACTTCCAGCTTCTGGTGATAACTCATGATGAAGATTTTGTTGAACTTCTGGGCCGTTCTGAATATGTGGAAACGTTCTACAGGATAAAGAAGAACATCGACCAGTGCTCTGAGATCATCAAATGCAGTGTCAGCTCCCTGGGCTCATATGTTCATTAAAATACCTAGTAATTACGTGTTATAGACTGCCTTGGCTGCCAAACTTCAAATGAAGGCATCTGAAAATCTAGTTCCTTCATATCATATACTACTGAAGGTTTGTAACAATTTTAGCTAGTCTGAAACTATTAGACTTTTAAACTTTGTATCTTTCTATGTGTTTCTGTGCCTGGCTTTAAGAACCGCCATGATTTGGAAGGATTTAAGTGAATACAACCCAGTTGACTTTTAGATGTATTTTACACTTTAAAGTGAAAATAAAGTTGTGATGTTCTTTGGCATCAGGGAGAACTTTTGCTACTTTCTCTACAAGGTGACGTTACTCCAGCTGTTCAAAGTCAGAATCGTCACAAAGTGTAACAGCTTTCTTCAGAATAAATGACATTCCCATCTATAGATGAATCACAGAATTGTCTAGGTTGGAAGGGACCTTTAAGATGATGATGATGAAGACAGAAGCATATTTTAACCATGTTCTCTTTGCTTAGTGTCACTTACCTCTCCTGCTTTATGATGGTGACAATTACGAGAGTTATGTCATATTCGGATTCTCCATGAGGTGCAGTCAAGTTCTGTGAAAAAGATACAAAAATGCCTGAAAGAGTTAATTGGTGTGGATGCTGAGCTTCGTCTGCACCACCCAGAGTTCTTCCAGAAGCTCTTCTGCTTGACACAGCAGCACCTGACAGTCCTGCAGAGCACAGGCCAAGGGCAACCCACCACTGAGAATGACAACGGAAAGCCATCAGGGATGTCACTCCTCAAAGGACAACTCCTGTTGCTCCTCACAAGTCCTGAGATGTCAGACAAGGGTTCCTCAGCACCAAGCCTTGCCTCCTCTGGAGCCACGCGAGCCCTTTGGGGTGTGATTTCTGGGTCTCTGTTTCTTCATAACCAGGTAAGGGGGCACCTCATCTATCTTGGACTCTGGATACAAGTCCACAAGCAGAAGCTGGACTTAAAACTTTCTTTAAATCCTCTCAGCCTGTGGTGATTGGCTGAACCTCCTTAGCAGGGCAGCGTGTGACCAAAGCTTAGTTTCAAAGGAAGACAGTGGAAAAAAAAAAAAGCTAATTTCAGTAACATCAAGACCTGTGCCTTTGGCAAATACGGGAATGAGTGTGAGGACATTGCACGCTGCCTTCCCCACGCTTCAGGATGCAGGAATCCCTTTTTTTTTCCCCAAATTTACCAGGATGAAGTGAGTGAGGACGTGGTCAGGAGCGCACCAGTCAGCGGGGCCTGGGGACAGTTAAGCACCATGGACAGAGGCAGCCCCAGGATGCACCCCGAGGCCTTGGCCCCGAGGGGACGGTGACGGGTGACCCTGCCTCTCCATGGGGACTCTGCTGTGGCTCCTGCCTCTGCTGGGCACCTCACCTTACATCATCCCACCCCCAACACCACCTGCTAAAGGGTGTAGTCAACATCTGCACTAAAATAGCCAAAATTCGACAGTAGCCTTGGTCCCATTCTTCATCTGGGTGTTCTTCTGCTTGGCCAGAGGGTTACGTGGACGTGGCAGTCGGCGCCTTAAAGGCTAATCATCGCTTGAGCTAAGGATTATTTCCACCTAAATTTTCTAAAACTGCAAGTCACTAGAGTCAGGGCAGCCCCAGTCATCGGGAAACCACTCAGAGATAAGCGAATGAATGGGTCTTCCTAGCAATTACACTCTTTCACAAATCCCACTGAAAAAGTAATTAACACCAAACTGGAGGGGGGGGTGGGGGAGAGAAGGCAGAGGAAAATGCTGCTAACATGCATTACGTTGGCAGTTTTAAATAAGAAGCTTCACTGACTCTAGTACTACTTCCTGAAGGGGAATTTTCTTAAAGATATTATCAACAGAAGAAAAAAAAAAAAAAGACTCTGAATTTTCAAATTTTCCTGCACTACCTGTTTATTTTAGCGTGACACATACATCCCAGCTCATGAAGAATTACATTGCCTTCAGAAGGAACTCCCCAGCCTTTGTGAATCCTGGGGTTTTTTCCTCACCCCTGTTAAAGCCATGGTTTGCAATTCTCTGCAAATAGTTTGGGTGCGTTAAAGCCACAATTTGTGATTCCTCTATAAAGTAGTTTGGGCACATTTTGCCTGATTTAGCCTTTCTCTTCCCCACCCACAAAGTTTTTCCTCACACATAGACTGTGGGGATTAAACTTTTTTGCCAGAATTTGGAAAAAATACAGAAAATGGGGTGGGAAATTAACATCTCCTATATCAAGTGTCAGTATTAAAATGACAAAAGGTAACCTGTTGTAATTACTATTTTTATATCTCACCTTTCATTTGAACAGTCCACAGGCTCCTCTACAGTTAACAGTGTGGAAAAGAGACTCCTCCAGCCCCATGGTTTTGATATGGACTGGGAAAATGAAAAAAATATGCTCACGTGGATGACGTGTAGGAGGAACTTTAAACACTTCCATGATCTGCTGCCTGTGGGCACCTCGGGGCGAGGGAGGACAGCGAAGGTCCCCGCTGGGGCCAGTGGAGAAGCTTTGCCACCAGCTCTCCTGGGGTTTGGACTGGGAAAATGAAAAAAATACGCTCACGTGAATGACATGGAGGAGGAACTTTAAACACTTCCATGATCTGCTGCCTGTGGGCACCTCGGGGCGAGGGAGGACAGCGAAGGTCCCCGCTGGGACCAGTGGAGAAGCTTTGCCACCAGCTCTCCTGGGGCACCCACAGGAAGCGCCGCCGGGGACGGGCACAATCAGCCACCCCCAGCCCCACGTCAAGGGCATCCCTGCGCCGCCGCCGCTTCCTGCCTGCGGTCCCGGCCTCCTCCCCGGCCTCCTCCTGCGGGGGGAGGCCTGAGGGTGGGGAGAGGAGCAGAAAGAATATCAGGGAAAAAAGCGTTGTCACCCTGACTGCTGTACATGATGTTACACAAAGTTTAGCCCCTCTATAGCACAGAATTGAGCAGAGACAGTTCAAGGTTGGGCGAGGCACAGGCTTATTGTGGTCATTCATTCGGCAGGTGACGGCGGTGCAGAAACGGGGTCTCTGCTTGCCATGTTGGTGGGAGCTGTGGTGGATCTCCAGCAGAGAAACCCCAGTGGAGGAAAGCAGCTCCTCAACAGCCATCTGTCACCTAGCCATGTGTGCACACTGCTTCATGAGGAAGGCACAGCCACGGGCAGATACTCGCTCAGGTATGCCATGATTTAAGAACCGAAAATCATAGAATGGTTTGGATTTGAAGGGACCTTAAAGTTCCCCCAGTGTCACCCCCTGCCCTGGGCAGGGACACTTCCCACCAGACCAGGTGGCTCCAAGCCCCCTCCAACCTGCCCTTCAACCCCTCCAGGGATGGGGCAGCCACAGCTTCTCTGGCCAACCTGGGCCAGGCTCTCACCACCCTCACACCAAACAAGTTCTTCCCCACAGCTCAGCTCCATCTCCCCTCTTGCAGGGTCAAACCCTTCCCCCTCCTCCTAGGGCTCCCCTCCCTCCTCCAGAGTCCCTCCCCAGCTTTCCTGGAGCCCCTTGAGGGACTGGAAGGGGCTCCAAGGTCTCCCCGGAGCCTTCTCTTCTCCAGGCTGAACCCCCTCAACTCTCTCGGCCCCCCCTCCCAGCAGAGGGGCTCCAGCCCTCCCAGCATCTCCGGGGCCTCCTCTGGCCCCGCTCCAACAGCTCCATGTCCTTCTGCTGGTGGTGGCCCCAGAGCTGGAGGCAGCACTGGGGGGTGTCTCCCCAGAGCGGAGCAGAGGGGCAGAATCCCCCCCCTGAGCCATGCTGCTGGGGATGCAGCCCAGGGTGCAGTAATATCTAAAAATATTACTCGGTTTTACACCAGGCCTCGGCCCTGGTGGATGCCTTTGGAGGCAGGAATCTGCAGCAGACAGAGGCTCCAGCAAATGCCTTTCCTCCCCCCTCTGTGCCACATCATTTATTTCTTCAGTAACAGCTTACTCTCAGTTTATCGGCGCTTAGTAAGCGAGGTGGCAACTGCTTTCACTAGAAAAAAAAAAGTGGCCTTAGAAAGAAGACTCTTCAGACAGTCATGTCTTTAAGTGGAATTTGTATTAGTGGTGGGAAACCAATGCTTCAAGTGTCTGATGCTTGCGTCACTGTGACGATACCGCGCTCTCTGCTCACACACTGCTGCAGAGGCAGCACTTGGCCCAAAGGGATCAAAACTTCAGAGAAGATGATCTTTTCAATTATCATTTTTGCAAGCAAAACTGCCTTCTGAGCTGTCTGAGGTAACAAAGGGGCTTACAGAACATGTCAGTAACTTGCTACTTCCACCAACAAAAGTTCCATAAAGTTTGTACCCGGGGAGGTCCAGTTTTCCTCTTGTGCTCTGCCTTTTAGGGAAAAAGCTTTCCCATGCCCTAAAAATTAAAAATAAAAAAACCCAAACCAAACAGATGTGATTAGCCATAAATAAACACCACAAACCAAACCAATAAATACAGATGATGCTTTCAGAAGCTGCATCGTTTAATGTCTCCTTGTAACTTTGCTAGCATTTAAATGTCACCCTAAATATCGTTTCTAATCTATTTCCGTATGACGGGCTGTGGACTGTCCCCCCAGGGCCACCTGGGGGGACAGTCCATACTCCCTGCTCCCTGCAAGATCCCACCTGCGGGGAAAGGTGATGCTATTTGCAAACCCTCCTTCCTCCAGCTTCATCCTACTCCCTTTAATCTGATTTATGCAGGAAAAAAAAAAGAAAAGGAAGCGATTGCTGTAGCTGTAGCTCACCTTTCCCTCCAGCTGCACTGCGCTGCGCTCCCCTCCCAGCTCAGGCTCTGAAACACTTGCAGTTTGTAAACTCAACCGCTGATCCCAGAGATATTACATGTGCTGATGCTAGACAGAAGATGGTGACCCACATTTGGGTGACTTTTTCATGTTATAAAATTTTTTTTTTTTTTTTTCAGCTTCTCCACCATCTTCTGAAAGAAAGGGAACAGCACACATGTGAAAACGGCCTGGAAAAAAATGGTGTGGCTTCTGGATGAGGATTTAACAGAAGGCAAACTGGAGTAGTTATGGAAATGGGAAAATGTTTATAGGGTGGTCTGAAATGAGGCCCTCAAAAATGATAGAAGAGACCTGCAGATGTTTATATCACCATATGCTCGACCTCATGAGTTCTGACATTGTTTCTTGATTACATGTTCCCATCCTGTCCCTCTACAAAACCTGTGACTGAGTGCAGCTGGGGCTGCCCTTGGGGGGGACGTGGAGGTGGAAGGTGACACGGCCACCTCCCCTCACCCCAAGAGCCAGGAAGAGGCATGAGGAGCACGGCAGGGATCTGCTGGAGGAGGGAACCATCCAGGAATCACACGGGAGAATCACAGAATCATAGGATTGTCTCAGTTGGAAGGGACCTTTCAGATCATGGAGTCCAACCATCAACCCAACACTGACCAAACCACCCATCGTCTGCCTGGATTTTAAATACCTCCAGGGTGCTGGGGGGCTCTCCCCACCCTGAGCTGGGGACGACAAAGGCAACTGGGAGGAAACCTTCTGCTCCTCCTGCTGGGACAGCCCGGTGCTGGGACAAAGCTGCCACCCATTTCACTGGAAACACACAAATTCAGCCCATCTAAAATTATGACCTGCTGTTCCCCCATCTCCTGCAGAGCCAGGAAAGAGAAGGGGACGCTGCCACAGGAACCTGTAGCCCCTGTAAAGCTGACTCAGCCACTGGCCATTGGTTTCTGTCCATTGATTCCATCTGTACCCATCAACATCATCCCATGTTGGTGGTGGCCATGGCCCCAAGCCCACCCCGCTGCTCTTCGTTGGTGTGTGATCATTGTGGGCAACCACCTTTGGCTTCACTGCTGGAAAAAAGAAAAGGAAAACCCCATGGTTTTGGACACAGAGGGTGTCTTCAACTGGTTCTTCTGTTTCCTGGTGTCATCACCCAGAGGTGCAGCCATGGAAAGGTCTGACGGGTGCCAGCCCAGGGTGTGCCTTCACCCCCTGCCACCCACCCTCGGCCTCCTCAGCATGGAGGCAAGAGGAGCCTGATGAGGAAAACTGCAATACCTGAATTAATCACTCAGATCATTTTTCTGAACTGGCTGGGGACTGATTTGGGGTGGCTTCAATCAGGCATGAAGAGCTGAGGGGGTGAGTGTGGGGTGGGCACAGCCCCCCAGCAGCTGCTGGACCCCCCGGAACCCTTCTGCCTTCTGCCTCTGGCCACAGCTGGAAGCAAAACTGGCTCTTCCATGAGGAGGGGACCCCGTTTGGGCTGGGTTCACTCACTTGGGGTCCTGCCCCTCGCCCTGGCTGGTGGCAGCAGCCTGGGGGACATGGTGTCCCCCCTCCACGCACCCCTGTCCCCTGGGGAAGGGCAGCTTGGCCGGCAGCTGGGGGTGATGCACAGCCAGAAGTGTCACCTGCTATTTCATGGCCACCACTGGGGTTAGCACTGGGAGCAGCTGGAGACACCAAAGGAGCTCTTTTGGTTGCCCCTCAGGGCTCCCCAAGGGCCACCATCCCCTCTCTCCCCCCGAGCCCCCGTCTCAGCCCCGTTTCTCAGAACTGGGCTCGTCGTTCCAGCGCACGTCCTTCCACCCACACCACCCCAATTGACACATGTCAGCTTTTCCCATCAGCAGCTTCGCTTCAGCATTATCAATAGTTTGGGGGAATGATTTTTATCTGCCTTTGGGGGAGGTGACACACGCTCTCCCCGCAGGGTTTGCCGATGCGGGGTGTTCCCAGCCAAGGGGGTCCCACCACCCACAGCCCCCCCATGGCCTCGTGTTCCCCCCGGGACCACCGTGCCAGGGCATGGGATCAGAGAAGCCTTCCCTGGGGCCATGGTGCATCCCACACCAGCATCCTGCTCTGTCTGCTCGTCTCAAGGAACCCAAAGACTCCAGCTTTGGGACACACGGACACTGCCCCGGACACACACCCGCTCCTGCCCCTTCCTCCCAGTGCCTCCACTGGGAAAATTCCAGGCTCCCGTCTGGCTCTGACCCAGCCTTTCCATTTTGCAGAACATTAAGTGATGGGGAATCATCACCATCTTTTTTTCTTTTTTTCCAGGAAAACCAGCACGGCACTGGGCATGGGATCAGAGAAGCCTTCCCTGGGGCCATGGTGCATCCCACACCAGCATCCTGCTCTCTCTGCTCGTCTCAAGGAACCCAAAGACTCCAGCTTTGGGACACACGGACACTGCCCCGGACACACACCCGCTCCTGCCCCTTCCTCCCAGTGCCTCCACTGGGAAAATTCCAGGCTCCCGTCTGGCTCTGACCCAGCCTTTCCATTTTGCAGAACATTAAGTGATGGGGAATCATCACCATCTTTTTTTCTTTTTTTCCAGGAAAACCAGCACGGCACTGGAGCGGCGCAGCCCAGTCCTGCCGCGGTGACGTTAGAGCTCCCCTTACAAAAAAAACCCCACTGCAGTGAAATGGGAAGGGGCTGGTTTGAAATGGGAAGCTCAGCACTTCCTCAGGCTATGGAACAACTCAACTTCACTGAAAATAAAATATAAATTATGGAAGTTTAAATGTTTCTACGTTTTCTAAATGAATTTACCAATTTATAACTATTTACAGGCCTCTAACCAGGAATAAGGTGAAGGCTGGGGCTCACCTGGACACTCTTACCGGAGCCGGGGCAGCGTTGGGTGTTGGCGTGGGCAGAGCCACCAGGTGCTTTGCTCGTGCTTGTAGCAGCACTTGGGAAAAACACTGAAGAATTTGGGGAAGAAATGAGCCGTTTTAACGAGTCAACATTTTTCCCCCCACAAAATTCCCACTAATGGCCATGGTTTGGCCATGGGTCAGCCATGGTGCGAAATGACTGCGGGTTCGTGTCTGCTCTTCTCCTCAGGGATGAGGTGGTTTGAGTCCCCAGGTCCATGTTGGTTTTCTGATGTCTTCTGGGACGGTGTGGGACATCGTGGAATGGTGTGGGAGAAGTGTGGGGTGGGACATCATGGAATGGTATGGGACAAGTGTTGGGATGGGGTGGGATGGCATGGGATGGTGATGGTGTGGGACAGGGTATGGCAGTGTGAGATGGCATGGGATGGTGTGGGATGGCAATGGATGGTGTGGGACAACATGGGATGATGTGGGATGGTGTGGGCCATCATGGCCCATGGTTGCAGCACCTGGTGGGGCTGGAAGGCGCCGAGCCGGGCGCTGCAGGAGCCGTCCTTGCAGGCGGGATACGTGCTGCAGAGCTGAGCAAGTCCTAGTTAAAACCCAAACACCCACACGCCAGAAAACCCCCTCAGCTACTTCTTCCTTTACATGCAAGAGCATTTTTTTCTGTTTCTTTGCAGATGTTTAACATCTTGATAAAAGTTTTGAGGTTTCTCTTGTCTTTTCAAATCTCACTTTGGCTACTTGAGCTCGCTGGAGCTCTTTGCCATCATGGCCAAAGCTTTTGGCATGAATGTTTTTTTTTTATTTCTGACTCAGTGTTGGGCTGTTCCTCTGCGACAGCAGCCACACCATTTCCTTCTCCGCAGTGTCGCTGTCACCGCTGGCGATGACCAACGGAGCTCAGCACGGGTCACTGCGGTCCCCAAATGTCCCCAGGTGGGCCACGTGGGAGGAGAGGTCCTCCACATCAACAGGAAAGGTGGCAGGTGCTCAGGGTGCCCCAAAAAAGCAGCCCCAGGGTGCTCCCACCCCCGTCCTGTGATGGTGTCCCTGGGGTAGGTGGGTGTCCAGCCGGCAGCAGGACCCTGTGCAGGTGGCAGAGGGGCACGGTCAAGTGCAAAAGCAGATGTCTGCTGTGGTGTCACTTCTGCTCCTGGATTTCTAACCTGAGGGTGATGCTGATGCAGCACCTGGGCACAGACCTTCCAGGGTGACACTGACACAGCACCTGGGCACAGACCTTCCCAGGGATGGTGGGGCTGGTCTGGCTCCCGGCACATGGTGAGGAAACACCTCCAAATTCAACCAGACACTTGCTGGGGTCGTGTCATCCCCCAGGAGACATCCCCATCCAGGAGCCCAGCAGAAATCCAACCACATCCATCCCAGAGCCAGTCCTTCTGCATAACCCATTGTCTTCAGCATCGGCGAGAGAAGGAAAGCTTTGGGAGATATTTCTCCACACCTGAGCTCCTGGCTTGCCTTCACTCGTGCCTTGGCTACACCGTGCCCAGGTTCATGGCTTTCTACAGGCAGCACGTTACAAACCCACTCGACAGTAAATAGATCCCTCAGACATCAAAGAGAAATTCTCAACTTCTCCTCCCCCTATCTCTCCATCTATCAATTAGGTGATTAAAATCTGCACGGCAGCCGAATGGCAGATAACGTTGGTTTAAGGGCGAAAAGCCTTCGCTGTCATTACATAATGCCCTTCTTTGGGGCGAGTGGCACTTCCCACCGCCGCGCCTGAGCAGCACAGGAAGACACCTATATTTGGTAGTCCATGGAGACTATAAGAATGGTGCTCTGCCAAGCAGCAAGGCAGAGAGGCCCTGGCCAGCCAGCCCCACCGGCACGGGAAGCGCTCGGAAAGCGGCGACAGGATGCTGCCCTGGCTGAAGGCTGCCCTCGCTCTCCTCTCCCTGCTCCAGCTCGGTATTTCCAGACCAACGATGACCACCTCCCCCAAGCTAAAGCTGTCAGAGATCACCCACCGCATCCAACAGCTCCACTCGGGAGTGCAGGTAAACACCACTACACCTCCTTCCTCTGCTTACAGACCAGAGGAACGCTACTGATGATGATGATGATGACGACGACGACTATGTTCCTTGGTGTTTTGGGCACCCCAGCCTGTTTCAGCCTAGACTTTGGGTGCTCAGCACTGAACTTGGTGGTACCAGAGGCTGCTGGGGTTGGGCAGGGTGAGGTTTTCCAGCTGACACTGTGGATGCTGAAGAAAAGCTTGCTGAGGAACGAGACAGGCTCCCCCAAACCTCCCAGTCCAGCAGGCAGAGCTGTGTCGGGGTGACCGGGGCAGTTCGGTGATGGGGACACGGTGGCCCGGCACTGTGTGAGTTGTCAGGGTGTCCCTGCTCTGTGCTGGGCCATGGTACCCCCTGAGCACCCAGGGGCTCTCCTGTCCTCCCCAAACAGCTGCTGGTGGGTGCTCCGAAACCCAGGGCCCGGCTTCCCAGGAACCTGTTTTGAAACAGTTTGCAGAAAGACAGATCTTGGTGGTGGCATCACCCAGGGGGTGCATCCACGTCGTGTCCCGACAGAGGGGGTGTGAGGACACGGTGCTCCTTCCCGGGGGAGGGCACAGATGGTGGCTCCTCGGGGGTGGTCTCGTAATGACGGTCTCTTAACACCAACCTCATAACGAGTGTCTCGTAATGACAGTTCTCCCTCCTGTCACCTCTCCAGGTCCCCTGCAATGACACCCGAGTGGCACAGGTCTCCTTCACGGATCGAAAGGTAAAAGATGATGGGGAGGGAGAAGGGGGGGAAATGACATTTGTAATAATGAGGGGCACAGCCACGGTGCTCAGCCCACGGAGCAGGGGTGGCTTTGAGGAACAAGACAGGCTCCCCCAAACCTCCCAGTCCAACAGGCAGAGCTGTGTCGGGGTGACCAGGGCAGTTCGGTGATGGGGACACGGTGGCCTGGCACTGTGTGAGTTGTCAGGGTGTCCCTGCTCTGCGCTGGTCCATGGTACCCCCTGAGCACCCAGGGGCTCTCCTGTCCTCCCCAAACAGCTGCTGGTGGGTGCTCCGAAACCCAGGGCCCGGCTTCCCAGGAACCTGTTTTGAAACAGTTTGCAGAAAGACAGATCTTGGTGGTGGCATCACCCAGGGGGTGCATCCGCGTCGTGTCCCGACAGAGGGGGTGTGAGGACACGGTGCTCCTTCCCGGGGGAGGGCACAGATGGTGGCTCCTCGGGGGTGGTCTCATAATGACGGTCTCTTAACACCAACCTCATAACGAGTGTCTCGTAATGACAGTTCTCCCTCCTGTCACCTCTCCAGGTCCCCTGCAATGACACCCGAGTGGCACAGGTCTCCTTCACGGATCGAAAGGTAAAAGATGATGGGGAGGGAGAAGGCGGGGGGAAATGGCATTTGTAATAATGAGGGGCACAGCCGTGGTGCTCAGCCCACGGAGCAGGGGTGGCTTTATTAGTCACCCAACCAGGGCTGCTGGAGCTCCAGTCACTGGGGGTGAGCACAGGGCTGGCTGCACCCAAAGACCTGCCTCCGGTGGCTCCGTGTCCCCCCAGGTCTCCCCCCCTGAGCCCGGCCTTCGGGCACAGCCAAATGGAAGCAGTTTAGGGAGTCATTGTGGAATATCCCACCAGTTCTGGACACCTTGATAAGTGGCATCAACTTAAATCAGCTGCTGGGTTGTAATAAGGTTCTCCCCCCACCTGGTCTCTCCCCAGCTGTCGGAGCAGGAGCTGCTGTGCCAGGCTGCCACGGCCCTCACCAAGGTCACCAGGTGCAAGAAAGACTACGAGCCCTTCATCATCAACCTGCAGAGCCTGCACGGCAAGAGGGTAAGCAGGAGATGCAGCACCCCCTGATCCCCCCCTGGGGTGGCCGAGCCCCCCCACCCTGTCCCAGCACCATCCCCACTTCCATCCCAGCACCATCCCCACTTCCATCCCAGCTCCCCAGGTGCACCCACAGGATCCAGCTGATCTTTGTTGTCGTTTGTGGGGCCAGCCACGGGCAAGGCAGCCCTGCAGCATCATTTTTCCCATGGGAAGAGCCTGAATGTCCCTCCCCAGCCCTGGCCACCCCCCAGACCAGTGGCCCCGAGGGTCACATCTCTGGGGACCGGGTGCTCATCCTGAGCAAATGACAAATCCCCAACCTCCTGGGGCAGCATCCTCAGCAAATGACAAATCCCCAACCTCCTGGGGAGCATCCTCCCAACACTTATTACTGAAAGATTTGTATGGGAGACACAGGCAATGGCAACAAACCTCCTGCTTGGGCTGGTAGCCCGGCTACTTGCCCTCTGAGCTGCCACCTCTAATGTGTTCACACTTTTCCTTCCCCAGAACTGCTCCCTGAGCAATGAGAACGAGATCTACCTGCGCAACTTCTTGCCGGAGCTGGGGAACTTCACCCAGGGGATGT